AACCAGATTCTCCCACCCTTGTTCTGTTCCCAGGGATGCATCTCCCCCTTCCTGTCTGGAGCGCTAAGCTGACATTGGCTGGTGTTCTCTGCTCTGCTTCCCTGCTCTCTCCCTAGAGGGCCGGGATCGCTCTGTCTCATCTCTGAGCCCCAGCTCCCCAGCAGTTCCCAGGCAGCAGCAGCTGCCTCTGTGCCAGTCTGTTCCCATGAGGTCACCGCTGCCCTGCTTCTAGCATCAGACAGATGAAACTTACATACCCCTGGGCTCGCTCTCTCTCTCATTAGAAGCATCCACCCGCCGTGCAGATGTGGGATGATGGATATACTTCCCACTCCCCCTGCCACTGAGTGCCCATTCCCTTTCACCCAGCCCACTGTGAAATAGACATCAGGAGAGGAATTGCACTGGGGGTGATGCTACTGCCTGTACCAGAAGCAAGGGAAACCGCCAAGCTGGGATTTTTTTAGCCTGCACATCAGCCCAGATGAATAAGGCCTACCAAAGTGGGTGGTGCAGAGGAAAGCAAAGCCCTGGAATTGTGTGTGGCAGGGGAAGGGGGGATATGGAGTGAAGATCTAAGATACTCCAGGACAAACCTTTGCTAGACTGAGCAGTGGTGGACTAAATAAGTGGGAGGGTTGAAATTGTTGTTGTTAGTCTCCAGCATCAAGGCCCTCCTCTCTCAGAGCCAGGTAGCCTAAATCTGACCTAACTCCCACTGGCTTTACAGTAGTGTGGTGCCATTGACTTCCCTGGAACCGAGCTTACATGCAGATGAGTGGGAGCAGAACGCGGCCCAGAGTTTGGCTAGCTGCAGACTCAGGCAGGCAGCGTCACACCCCAAAAGGTTGTCTTTGCAAGCAGAGGGGCAGGAAACTTTGTTTTAAACTAAAGCTTAAATAATGGAGAGAAGGAGCCAAGTGAGAAGGTGGCTGACTGTCCTCCCTCCTCTAAAGCGGTAAATGGGGGGTATGGAGTGGGCAGCGGAGGGATGGGGGATCTAGGCTCTCAGCCCACATATCCTGGCCAGCTCTCCCTTTGTGCAGCCCTAGAGACCCAACCAGGCCCAGTAGCTAGACGGCCATTGCTCCCCAGCCGACGGGCAGGGAGGCAGAACATACAGCAGGAGTTAGTGTTGTTTCAGGCTCTGGGGGTGTTGCTCCCCCCAGCTCCTCCCCCTCCCACGCCTGGCTTAGTTTGCTTTAGATCTGAAAGCGTTTTACAAAGATGGGAGGTGTTATCCCCCTTTTAAAGACTGGGAAACTGAGGCACAGAGAGGGGAAGGGGGATTTTGCGTAAGGTAACAGAGTGAGTCAGTAGCAGAGCCAGGAATGGAGAAACCCAAAGGGCCTGGCTCTCAGGCCTGTGCTCTAACCGCTGGCACACACTGCCTCCGACTGCAATGGTCCCCCTTCTGTACACTACAAACTGTACTCCCACATGTCCCCTCTGCCCCCTGCTCTTTCACCAGCTGCTGTACGTCCTTTGTCACTCTAAGAGTCCCGCTTCAGCCCCCAGCAGTTCTGGGACCTGGCTAGGAGAGGAGAGGAGATCCAGTAACTTTACCAAGCATGGGGCAGAAGACTCATGGAGAGGTTAATTAAGCTTAGAAAGGAAAATGACGCACCGCAACAGGGGCAGATACGAGAGTAAAACAAGCAAACCAGAGCACAGGGCCCCCCCAGCACCCCGCTCCAGCAAGAAAACGAACTGCTCAGATACAGCCCGAGGAAGAAGTTGGCAGCTCCAAGCCCAACTACCTTTCTCCAGGGAAATCCCACCTGGGAGCAGGAAAATGAGGGCTCTCCCTGGTGGGCAGCACAGGAAGCTAAACCCACTGCAGTCCCAGTCTCTCCCAGCAGGAGGTGCTGCAGGACAATGGTGGAGAGGTGAAATCAGGGGGACTCCAGTCCCAGTCTCTCCCAGCAGGAGGCGCTGCAGAGAATGGTATAGCAGCTAACCCAGCTATTCTCCTCTCAGCGGGAAAGGCTACATGAAACAGAGGCCAATGATCATGCACATCATGCCTGGACTCTGGTCTGGGGACTGCAGTGCTGAAAACCAAGCGGGAAAGGAGGGCAGGTGGGTGGAGAGCACTAATGCTAGAGAGCTGAATGCCGGGCAGCTCTCTGCTGCCCCTGCTCTGGTCTCCATCACCAGCTCGCCGCCTGTCCAAATCCCAGAGCAGGACACAGCGTAGAGCCCTGCAACCTGACCCAAAGGCAACAGGACCCAGCTACAAGTGTCGGAGCCACACCGGCTGGGAGAACAACCAGACCCTTTCAAGGCTAGGCCAGCTCTCGCCTCCTGCCCATGGGGTCAGCGTGGCTGTGCCGACTCAGGTTTGGGGGGGAAGGGTCAGGGTGAGATGAGTCAAAACAATACAACGGAAGCATTTTGACTTTATCAAAATGTTTCGTGTTGATAAAGAGCCAAATGAGAAACATTTCTACCTTATCGAAACAGTGTTTCATTAATTTCCCCTTGAAAATTTGCCCAAAATGAGACATTCCCAGGAAACGTTTTGATTTAGTCAAATCAGCTTTTGCCAGACAGGGACAGACGTTCCCACAGAAGCTTTTCGACTGGCTCTAGTCCTAGCGCTGGCTTCGTTCTCAGCTCGCTCTCTCCTGTGGCTGAACTCTTCCTCCGGTGCTGAGAGCACAGTTAAAAGCAGGCGGCCTCATTCCAAACCTTGCCGGCGTGCAGGCCGTCAGGACGCCGCTCCACACAGGCATGTCTCGTGTTGACAGCCTGCCCTGGCTTTAATGAAAGCACCGAGGGCAGTGGACAGGTTTCCCTACTCAGCACATGGCTTCTGTAGACATCAACATTAAATTCAGCTAGAGCCTGGGGTACCATCCGCTCTTGCTTATTCCCTCCAGCCAACCCATTCTACCCCTGGGGGAGCAGTGCCCCATCACTAAAAGGCCCAGTCTTCTGAGAAATTAGCTTCTTCAGAGCAGCATGCTTGTGGCAGGTCGGACTCCAGCTTCAACACCCTGCCAGGACTAGCTGGGAATCCATCTTTACTCTCCACAGTGCTCTGTTACACTCAATGCCATTGTGTTCTTGTACGCCCGTCCCTTCTAGGGCTTGAGACATGGCTTTGGGAGACTAGGGGCTCAGTCTGCAGGGGAAGGTTTTTAAACTGTCAGTGAATCCCTTATTGCTGCCTAACAATCAAGTGCGTGGGAAGGGGAGTCGGACTCCTGGGTTCTTATTCTTGACTCTGCGACTGATCGCCTGCGTGACTATAGGCAGGTCACGTCACTGCTCCAATCCTCGTTTCCTAGGGGCTGGGGTCATGGGATCAAAGCCGGAAGAGGCCCAGACTCACAGTGGGTCAACAGCCTTCCTTGGGAGCCTCACAATGCCAGAAGTAACATAGAAGTGGCCTCAGAGGAGACCCAGGTTTGGAGAAGTGCGCCGGGCCGGGCAGAGACAGAGCAGGGGAAGGGAAGGGAGAGAGATGGTAGATGTCCCGCTGGGTCCTCCTCCATGCTGTTTTTATTAACTAGAGTGCAGCAGAGCTGAAGGGGACAGCAGGCATCAGAGGTGGGTTCCAGCATGATCCATTTCCTGGTTCCAGCACAATTGCCAGGGGTCAGTCACGCGGGTGGCTTGAAAGAAAGGGCAGTGCTTTGGGAACCTGGCTGATCCCGCCTCCCGCTCCCCTTCAACAAGGCCTCTGCTGAGGCCAGTCAGCCGATTCCACCCTCCTAGTTTTGATTCAAACCCAGAGATTGGGTTCTTTTCTGCCATAAAGTAGATCCAGGAGACATTGTGGTGGTACTGCCCCCTTGTGGTACAGTGTGCGACTGCCACCCCCGTTGGGGGCACAAAGGGGAGGGAACAATCAGTCCAGCTTTGAATACATTTGGAAAGGTCCAGAAAAAAAAAGTCCTGTACCGGGGCTCATCAGAAACAGCTGTGGTACCGGTAGCCAACCAAGTGACTCGATTTCATCCTCAGGCTCCAGCATCAGCAAAAGTTGAGGCTGGAGAAAGATGAAGGCACAGGGGACAAGCGGGCCCAATGCTGTAGAGCGCTTCAGGGCCGAAGCTGTTCTCTAGCTACTAGAGAGGTAGCATGCTCCAGTGGATAATGCACGGGATTGGGACTCAGGAGAGCTGGGTTCTAATTCCAGCTCTGGCACTGCCCTGCTGTGTGACCTTGTCCCCTTGGTCTGGCTTGTCTATTTGGATCGTAGGTTCTTTGTGTCTCAGTGCCTAGCACAATGGGTCCCTGATTTTAGCTGCTGGGGTACAAATAATAAACAACATAAGGAATTCTAGGTTATAATCTCACAGAAATGCAAATGATAGAATCAGGCCCAAATCCTAAAGTCCTCATTTCAGGCTTGTAAATTGCAGGGCCTGAATAAGGTCCTCAGCATTCAGCCAAGACTGCTAATGCATGGCCCTGAGTCACTCCTTTCATTGGTGCATCTCCATTGATTTCAGCAGAGCGACCCTGGCCTCACTCTGGAGCAATGCAGTGAGGAATCTGGCCCTGCTTGTTTCTGCGATGTCTCCCAATTGCTTGTGACAGAAGCTAACTGCTTTTGGGCAGATGTGTGTTCGTCGCTCATTCGTTCTCGAGCTGGCAAGTGGTCCACAATGCAGCCTCCAGCGCTCACATGGTGCATTTTCAAACAAGCCCCTCTGCGTTTTCCCCCAAGCTGCCCCTCACCTGCAGGAGGAGCTCCTCATAAAGCCACCTCGGCCTCCTCCCGGGCTCTCCTCTGCCACAAGGCCTACAAGAAACTACTGGTGTTCAGAGGCCTGGAGGCCAAGAATATCCCAGTGTTCTCTTGTGCTCACCCGTCTGTCTGTACTCATCTGTTGTCTCCTGTCTTGTACTTAGATTGGCAGCTCTTGTCTGTTTGTTCTGTGCCTGTACAGCTCCTAGCACAATGTGGCCTTGGGCCATGACTAGGGCTCCTAGGTGATACAATTAAATAAATAATTGTCTGATTCTCGCTCTCTCTCCCCCAGGAGGAAGTGCTGTGAGGGCTATAGGTTTGTGATGGGCCAGTGTATCCCGGAAAGTAAGTATAAAAAGGAGCTCTCTCCCATCCTGCTCACTCTGTCCACACTTATTCTCAGGTGGCACTAAAGCCATGGATCATGTCACCTGTGAGTGGATCGTCTAGTCAGATAAATGCCAGGATGATGCCATCCGCCTGGAAAGGCTCTGGGAGACTTTGCTGCAAAATTTGGGCAGCCTTCTCCACTGCCTGCTCCAAGGGTGAAAGTTCTTGAGATGTTGGCTCATGACAGGGCTGCTTCTTGCACCATGTGATGGCAGTTCTCTGTTTTCACACATCACACCTTCAGCACCCAGCATATGGTATTTCAGCAGACGAGGCTTTCTGCATTCTGCTCTGTGTTGGGTGGGAAAGGGTCCATCGCTTTCATTCTGGAGGTGGGTCCAGGTCACAAAGTTCTGATCCAGATCTTCCCCAGAGTTCCGGGATGTTTGGAACCATGGTTTGCTCCAGGCTCATTTCTAGTCTCTGTTGAATGTGGGCCCCTCCAGCTTCTCTGCAGAGTCCAGCGCATGATGGGTCTGGAGTCTGCGCTCTCGCTAGACACCTGGGGTGCTGCTAGACAGAGGGTGGAGTGGGTCTATTACGGGATGGGGCAGGTCTGACATAGTTAGGTTGGGAGGCTTGGGAGAGGAATTGGGTCACCTGCCAGTTACAGCTAGGGAGAGGGTTTGGCAGCTGGGAGAGGGAGGTGGGAAGGATGCCTGGTGGAAGGGAGAGATTGGGTTGAGGATGCTAGTTACTGGGGAGTGCCCAGCCATGAATTACTTATGCATGCAGAGGACATATGGGGCCGGATCCTCCACTGATGTAAATCTGCATCTTTACAGGGAAGTCAGAGCCAGGCTGAAGATTTGGCCCAGGGCAATGCACTGTGATGTGCATGGGGGGGGTCACCCTTAGTTGCAAGGCTGCGGTCCAACCCACCCTGCTTGACACCCAGGGTGAGGCGCGTGGGAGGGGTGGTCCGTACAGCAGCACACAACTTCATCTGCCCCTCTTTGCAGGCGCGGATGTGTGCGCCGACTTCCCGTGCGAGCAGCAGTGCACGGACAACTTTGGTCGCGTCCTGTGCACGTGCTTCCCCGGCTATCGCTTTGACAGAGAGCGCCACAAGACTCACCTGCACCCTTACTGCCTCGGTGAGTGCCCCCAAGGGTACCCGCCCTTGGCCTGGGCTGGTGGTAATGGCCTGGATCCGGAATAGCTCCTGTGTCATAAATGGACACACGCGGCATCTTTCAGTGGCCTGGGGTCTGTTGGAGGACTCTGTTGCAGGAGAGGCTGCTGCAGATACCAGCCATCCCTAGGCTCCAGCGTCCAATGTAGGAGCCTAGGGGAAGGTTCCCAGAGACCCATCGCAGGGTTGCCATCCCCAAGGGATGTGTGTATCTCCTGTCCTGGGCTGTAGGATGATAGGAATCTCCCTTCTGCTGCGTCCGTTCCCCTGGCAAGGCCTCCGTGGCCCCTGGCGCTCCCCTGGCTGAGCTGTGGCTGATGTTTCTCTGTGTTCAACCCCAGACATCGATGAGTGTGTGGAAAGCGGAGGTGCCGTCTGCGACCAGCTGTGTACGAACACCCCAGGCAGCTACCGGTGCCATTGCCAGCTTGGCTATTACATAGCGTCTGACGGGACAACCTGTCTGAAATCCAGCAACGGTGAGTCCGTGGACCAGGAGAAGGATCATGTCCTAGCACTGTTCGACCCTGGGGCCACGCTCAGCCCTGGCTCAAGCAGATGTAGCTCCACTGACCCATGGCTGCAGGTCCACCCCCCCCCCAATTCCTGCTGCTGACTGGCACAGGTGCGTCATTCTCTTCCAGGCACCACAGTGGTCAAGTCGGAGACCCTGATGGGCACCAGGTCCTGCTCCGTCACCTGCGAGGAGTTCACCAGCATGAAACAGACAGTCTCCCAGCTGAGACAGAAGGTGGGACAACGAACCCTGAGCCTCTCCTGGTCACACACAGCTGGCAGCGCTCCGACAGACAGCTGTCTGGGGCAAACCTGCAGAAGCAGCCCTCAACGGGACCCTGGGGCTGTCACCCCGCCACCGAGTCTCACCCAGTCAGAGCTGAAAAGAAATAGGTAGTCCAGGAAGCGGTCGCCCTGATCACACAGGCGTGCTCAGTCAGACCCGGGGCGGAAATGGATCCAAGGGCCGCATTCAGACCTGTGCGAAGTGGGCACAAGTCCATGGAAGTCAGAGCGGTTGCATCCACTTGTACCTGTGGTGAATACGGCCCACACGGCTTTTTTTAAAGGATGTGCTGGGAGGGGTGCCTCTCTGGCCACTCCCATTGGGGAGGGGCATGCAGGGGGCAGGACCTTCTCCCCAGAGGTCCTCCTTCTCTTGGCTAATCTGCATACCCTTTGCAGCAGGTTCCCATTCCCTCTAAACCCGCTAGGCGTAGGCCATGGAGCCAGGGGGACCACCCAGGCCATGACCCGACCACTATTTGGCTGGACCAGACCTGAGCAGCTCTGTGACCCCATGTGCCAGGTTGCAGTGCCGCTCACGCAGATTTGGAAGGGGTGGGTCTAGGTGCTCATGGGCCAGAGGTCAGGCTGCTGGGGAGGCTGCGAGAGGAAGAGGAGGGTCAGGTGTGTGGGGGGGAACAAATCTAGGCCCCCCCCACTTTCAATGATGCTCTCCAGCCCCTGCCACTGGGAATCACTCTGTTGACACTCTGTCCCTGGGGCATGAGGCTGCAGAAGTTGCGTGACCCTCCCTCCTTACAGGGCTTGTCGGCACTTCTTTTCCTTCCCCTTAGCTGCTGCTTCCCGTCTTGGATAACAAGAGCAGGAAGTCCTGGATGAGGATTAACCGCAAACCAGCAGACTTCTCACACCGTCCTCCTGCCCTAGGGCCCCCAGGCCCCCCGGGGCCTCCAGGTACATCTTGGGATGCTGGAGATTGCTGGGGTGGGAGACCCTGGATGCCTGTGAGGATCTGACCCAGCAATGCTTTTCATTAGACCAAGCAAGAATCCTGTTTGTCAGAGGGAAGCGGCAGGGCCGGGTTGGTGCAATCAGCCCACTAGTGCAGGAGTAACACCTACAGTGGGCAAGCAATGGACACTCTATGTCCCATGGCACCTTTGCCAAGAGCTGGGCTGGGGTTACCCTCTTGGCCGGGCTAATTTCTCAAGCCTGGATCCCCACTACCCTGGAAATACCAGGCTGCATTAGCTCTCTGGGCTTGGCATGGGATGATACACATCTTCTGTGGCTAAAGCCACGGCTCGCCCCTTTCCTGGGGAGACTAGCAGGGCCTCGGGCAGTGTAGATGGTGCAGTGGAAGACACTGCCCTTAATGCTCCAAGGATGACGGCAGAGGCCCATGCAGAGCTAATCCTAGGGGGATAATGCTGCCCCCCATCAGAGTGTTACATCCTGCTCCCCTAAATTCACCCTGTACGTGGCGATGTTCTTTATCCTCGCCCTAAAACGGCAGCATCACTTGGGCAGGAGGATTGCTTCATTCCACCCCAGAGGTGGCTGCATTTCAGCAGTAAATTATCGCCTCCCAATACTTTGGCACATTTCAGGATGGAAGGTGGCTTAGGCTATGTCTACACCACAGGGGCTGCAGCTGTGCTGTTGCACTGTAGATGCTTCCTACAGTGACAGGAGGAGTTTTCCCATTGGTATAGGTCAGTGGATCTCAACCAGGGGTACGTGTACCCTTGGGAGTGCGCAGAGGTCTTCCAGGGGGTCCATCAGCTCACCCAGAGATTTGCCTAGTTTTATGGCAGGCTACATAACAAGCACTAGCGAAGTCAATACAAACTAAAATTTCGTACAGACAATGGATTGTTTACACTGCTCTAAATAGAATACACTGAAAAGTAAGGACAATATTTATAGTCCAATGGATTTAGTTTAGAGTTATATGGTAAACATGAGAAAGGAAGCAATTTGTCAGTGATAGTGTGGCTGTGACGCTTTTGCATTTTTAGGTCTGATTTTGTAAGTAAGTTGGTTTTAAGTGAGGTGAAACTTGGGGCTACGCAAGACAAATCAGACTCCTGAAAGGAGTACGGACAGTAGTCTGGAAAGGTTGAGAGCCACTGGTGTAGGTGATCCACCTCTCTGAGAGGTGATAACTAGCTGCATCTGCACTAGGGGTTAGGTCAGCTTAATTACTTTGGTCCGGGGGTGTGGATTTTTCACACCCCAAGTGACATAGCTGGCTTGATCTACATTTTAAGTGTACACCAGGCCTTAGCTGCCACCTATCATGTGGCAGCCTTTTTAGGTGGCCTCTCTAGCCAGCAGGAGCACTTCCCTGAGTGCTGCCCGTTTGGCAGGTGTCAAGGTTCCTTCCCCACTCTGAACTCTAGGGTACAGATGTGGGGACCTGCATGAAAAACCTCCTAAGCTTATCTTTACCAGCTTAGGTCAAAACTTCCCCAAGGTACAAAATATTCCACCCTTTGTCCTTGGATTGGCCGCTACCACCACCAAACAAATACTGGTTACTGGGGAAGAGCTGTTTGGAAACGTCTTTCCCCCCAAAATACTTCCCAAAACCTTGCACCCCACTTCCTGGACAAAGTTTGGTAAAAAGCCTCACCAATTTGCCTAGGTGACTACAGGCCCAGACCCTTGGATCTTAAGAACAATGAACAATCCTCCCAACACTTGCACCCCCCCTTTCCTGGGGAATGTTGGATAAAAAACCTCACCAATTTGCATAGGTGACCACAGACCCAAACCCTTGGATCTGAGAACAATGAAAAAGCATTCAGTTTTCTTACAAGAAGACTTTTAATAGAGATAGAAGTAAATAGAAGTAAAGAAATCCCCCCTGTAACATCAGGATGGTAGATACCTTACAGGGTAATTAGATTCAAAACATAGACAACCCCTCTAGGCAAAACCTTAAGTTATAAAAAGATACACAGACAGAAATAGTTATCCTATTCAGCACAATTCTTTTCTCAGCCATTTAAAAAAATCATAATCTAACGCATACCTAGCTAGATTACTTACTAAAAGTTTTAACAGGTTTCAGAGGAACAGCCGTGTTAGTCTGTATTCGCAAAAAGAAAAGGAGTACTTGTGGCACCTTAGAGACTAACCAATTTATTTGAGCATGAGCACGAAAGCTCATGCTCAAATAAATTGGTTAGTCTCTAAGGTGCCACAAGTACTCCTTTTCTTTTTGTAAAAGTTTTAAGACTCCATTCCTGGCCTATCCCCGCAAAGCGGCATATAGACAGACAGACCAGACCCTTTGTTTTTCTTCCTCCTCCCAGCTTTTGAAAGTATCTTGTCTCCTCGTTGGTCATTTTGATCAGGTGCCAGTGAGGTTACCTTTAGCTTCTTAACCCTTTACAGGTGAGAGGATTTTTTTCTCTGGCCAGGAGGGATTTTAAAGGGCTTTACCCTTCCCTTTATATTTATGACAGCATGTAACCTAGTGGTGGTTGGGGACAGTGGGGGTTAGACACACCTCTCTTAACAAGAAATGGGCAAACCAGCCCAGACTGCCTCAAACCTGCAGCCTTCAGTTACCAGCCTTCTTGTCCTGGCTCCCCCCACATGGGGAGGGCAGCAGGCCTGGCACTCTCTGTGGTGGGCACACAGCTCTAGGGCTTCCCAGGGAAGAGGCGGGTGGGGGTGCTGGGCTGACATCCAAGTTGGATACGAAGCGGAGATGGATCCAAGCAGAGATTTCCGCTCAGGCTCTAGATTAGAAATGCTCCCTGATCTGGGAGCAGTGGGCTCTGGGGTTTGGGCTAGGCCCTCTGTAAAGATTGGATCCAAACCCTCTGGCCGGGGGTCCTGGGCCAGGGCCTTCTCTGGTATTAATGCTGTCAGTTGCTCTGCTTCTTTAAGACCCAGTTCAGAAATCAAACATCCTTTTCTATGTTAAGGGGACCCGGGAGCAACAGGTGAGAAAGGGAGTCCAGGGGCAGTTGGACCTCCAGGGCCTCCAGGAACCCCAGGGCCCCGTGGGGACATGGGACCAATGGGACCGTATCCTGACTTTGCGCATATCAAAATCGGACAAAGGGGACCAGTGGTGAGTAGCAAAAGCCCCATTTGCTGGGTCATGCATCCTGGCCCCACCCCCAGAGCGCTGGAGTCCAGCCCACCATCCCCATCGGCCAATGGCTTCTTCCCCTGCCCACACCTGGCAAATGGGCCAGTCCCACACACACAAGCCAACCCTGCCCAGTCAGGTTCAGTGCCTTCCCCCTCTCCTGCAGAGACCCACTGCCCCCAGCGCTTCCTGCCCCGCCCCTTCTCTCCAAGAGACCCACAGCCAGCAGCATTTCCCCATCACCAGATCCACTTGCTGGACCTCCAACCACCAGCATCCTTTCCCTGTCCACGCCACCAGAGCTGGCTCCCCGCCCCACAGCTGGCAGGCACTCAGCCCCACCCAGTGCCACACATGCTCTCCACCCTCCGGATGCACTTGCTGTAGACCCAGAGTCGCAATGATCTTGTTTACTCCTGCACTAAGCTCTGTGTTTGTGCTTCTCCTAGGGCGCTCCTGGGGCACCGGGAAGGAATGGCCAGAAGGTACCACGGCTTCCATTATTATCTTTATTGCCTTCGAGGCCCCCAGTGGGGCTCCACGGTGCTAGGCGCTGTACACATACACACAGTGGTTCCTACTGCAAAGAGGCTCTCCCGCAGTTCTGATTCCCAGTCTCGTGTCTCAGTTCTCAGTGAAAGTAACGTAATTCCTTTAGTGGCCCACAGCCAGGAGAAAATGAGTCTGATTCTCCAGTGCCTTGTCTCTCTGGGCATTATCTACACTAGGGCAAATCAATCCTGATCCATCTACACTAGGAAAATTAGGACCCAGGGTTCTCTGCTGGGGTCACACACCCCCGTGGTAGCAAACATGCACTTTTCTGACTGGTCCATTCTAGTCTCAAAACCAACTGCAGGGGGCATGACGCATGGGGGGCAAGTACACGCCCCCATTCTAGCTACAGCAAAACTTTCCGCACGAGCGGTGTTGTGGCCCCATTGCAACCTGAGTGGTTACATCTTGTCAACCTGCTGTTGCTTGTGCAGAACAGGTGAGGCGCTCCGTCCCAGAAGTGGCTGCATTTCAGTGGTAGGTGAGCGATCCCTGTGTCTGTACAGTTTGTTAAAAACCCTTTGGGAGTCTGCAGCATGCAAGGCGCTATAGGAATAGGTGTTGAGTTTGATTCACCTTTGCTCAGATGGCTTTATGTGTTTGAGGAGTGACGGGGGCCAACCTCTCTGCTTCCCCCTTGTGGCCCAGTCAGACATTACTCACCCTGTCAGAGTGTCTCTGACAGTCAGTCACTGCCTCTTGCAGGGTCCAGTGCAATGGGCGTCAGCCCTCCAGCTCAGCCATGTCTGAATCGCAGCCCTTCTGGGTATCGAAGTCCCCAAATACAAGCGAGCTATGAGCTCGCAACAGGGTCATCTGAGGAATCTTCATCAGGAACCCAGGCTTCTGCTCTGGGGCTGTCTTCAAACAGCCCCTCCTTTGGTCAACCCCCGGATCAGCCATCCCATCCACTGGGAGACTCAGCCAGGCTGCCAGCTGTCCCCGACTCCTGGCTGTAACCAGGCTTCTCATCCCAAGAGAGCAGAACTCTGATCTTCTGCATGCTCAGCCCCACGCTAAGCTGGGCCTTCTCCTTTGAACTCCCCGCTCCACACCTGACATTGGCTGCAGGTGTAGCAGGGTGGGGCTCATTGGAGCCACAGAACCTCATGAAACTCCTCCCAGCCAGAATGGGGCCTGTGTGCCCCAGCATGGAGGTCATTTTATTCTCAATGAGTACGAAAATATCTTTGGTGCAAGTTGGTTTTGGGGGTGAACTCTAGCCAGCAACACAGTTTGTTCTGAGGACAAACAAGAGGCCAGACTCTCAGCAGGTGGCAATCAGCCTGGCACAGGTCAGTGCGCAGACGCTAGGCACCCTGACAATAGTTACATACAAAAGCACAGAATATCCCCTGGCAGCAGAATCCAGGAAAACATTAACTTCCCAGCCTGTCGCTGAGAAATCCTACAGCAGCTTTATCCCCACCTGAAAGACCCTGCCTTCAGTGCCCTTGTCAAATAGATGGGTTTTGACAGCGATTTAAATCCCATCCCCCTGCTCTGCCACAGAAATCATTTTGCTGCTAGTCCCCGCTCTGACCTTTGCTTTCTGTTTTAGGGCAAACGAGGATACCCCGGTCCCCGAGGGCCACCGGTAAGAATGGAAAAACAATTAGCAGCACAGAGCATCAGGCAAAGCCAGGGTCAGAAACCTCAGCTTGGGCCCCAAGTCCCCACTGCCTTGCTCCTTGGGCAAGTGAGTGTGAAATTCAACGAGTCTGATTTGTTAGCACTTGGTCCCCACTGTGTTTGGGTGTAAATGGCCGCACAAGGTTCAAGGCAGTGGAGCATCAGGCCCCAGGGGTCTGAGAAAGTATCTAAGGTTAGCCTGATTCTGGGTGTGTCTCACAAGTGTGTGCTCCCCTCCACACACACACACCCTCCCCACAATTCATCTATCTTATTTTAGTAGGCATCAAGCCCAGACAACATGCTCTGCCCTGGTCAAGACACAAAATAAAGACATTCCCTGCCCCAGTGGCTTACAATCCAATAGACACAATGGGAGAAGATGGGAAGCCTAGAGGAAGGAGTAATTTGTACACATATGGTCAGATCCCACTCTGGTGTAAACTGATGCAGCACCATGGACATCATGGGCCCTCCCCTGCTAGTATAAATCAGCGTAGCTCCATTGACTTTAATAGCTAACAAAGACCCCTCTGACAGGGAACTTTCTGTTCTCGAGCAAGGCCGGGCCCACAGAATCCAACCAACTTGAGCCCACCCTTGTGCATTGTAGCGATGGTGCAATGCTACCTCACAAGAGCCTGTTCTCAGCAAATCCATCCCTGAGGTGAGGAGGTACCTAGCAGCACTCAGCCTTACATTCCTGGCTCTGCTCCCTGGGAGCATGGAGAACGCCAGCCTCTCCTACATGCAACCAGCCCTTTCCTGCCATTCTCCTGCCTTCCCGAACACAACCTCCGTCAGGCTGGCATTGATCAGCTGGGACATGGTGTCATTGTATCATCGTGAGTCAGGGTCTGGGGTATGCTGAAACGAAACCCTGGACATCTTTATGTTTGGCCAGCATGGGAGCCTGGCCAGTCCAGTCTGAGCCACTGGGCCAGAGCTCTGCGCTCAGAGCGAGCCTCTCTATTCTCTCCCCACAGGGCCCTCCGGGCTCCTTTGACTTCCTGCTCCTGATGATGGCCGACATCAGGAATGACATCCGTGAACTACAGGAGAAAGTGTTTGGCCATCACCGGAGGATGGAGTTTGAGACGCCGTCTGCCGACAGCAGGGACTCTGAGGTGCATGAATGGGGATCCGGCCAGGAGGAGCTGCTGCGGGGGCCTAGACCCGCGCGCTCAGCCACATGACCAGGTGGCAGACACCTGCTCCCCTGCAGCTGGACGCAGGAATCGCCCACACTCCAGAGATGTTGCTTGGACACAAGATGCTCCAGAGATGTTCCGTGGTTGCTGGACACTGCAGCTGATTCGTCCCCTCGGGCCAATTTGAGCCGGCCATCACAGTCGCTGTCCAGAGCAGGGAGTCTATTTATTATGAGTGTTAAATGTTATATTTTTACACTAGAAAGAATGGAAAAGGGGTATTTTTATAAAGGTACTTTTCTGTCTCTTTGAAGAAGATGGGACATTCTCTAGATGCAGGGAGGAAGCCCTGGATTTGCTTCTCCACAGCAGCTCAGCCTCTGCCAGCAGTTTATATCCAGGGGAAATGTAGGGCAAATGAGCTGGAAGGAAGGAGTAAAACACCGAGGGCCTGATTCTCTTCTCACTCCAGTTTTACACCAGGGTCACTGTGTTGATTTCCCTGAGGTTGCTCCCGGTTTACGCTAGTGTGAGTGGAAAATCAGGTGTGGATAATCTCAGATCCCTGCTGATGTGTCCAAGGAAGAATTCTTTACTGGCTTCAGATCTGACCCTCTGTGTAACCTTGCTCCAGAAAGCTCAGTGTAACACCTATTCTGTATGATGCTCTGGCCCTTGCTCGTGATGGCAGATTGATGAGGCTGCTACGGCTGGGTCTTGTAGCTCAGACAACAGAAGCTTATGGTTTCAGATCCCCACTGCCAATAACCCGCATGGTAGAAAGAGAGAGACAGAACACTAAAGGCCATTAATAAAAGCTCACTGTGCATGCAGGGCCCTCCTTGCCTGGGGAGATGGTGTCACTCTTAGCCCTGGGCTTTCATCCTAAGGAACTGTGAACCCAGGTTACGTCCAGAAATACTAAGGGCCAAATGCAGCTGTGAATCTAAGCTGCTGTCATTTTTGCACCTCTCCTCTTGTAAATGACACGAATTTGGTCTGGCATGCCTTTACCCTCACTTCTGACTTTGGTCTCTGTAACAGGAGAGACGGCAATGCAAATAACTGCAAACAGAGGAAAGTGAACAGGTTCCTTCTCCAGTCTCTGGACCTGGGGAGAATGTCATCAGAACATGAGCAAGGGAATGAGCCCCCCATACTCTCTAATAAAGGCCTGCTAATGGGTTGCAGTCTAAGCGAATTCAGGGGTTCCAGAGAACTCCATAGACAAAACTCTCCAGTAGGTGGCAGCTGGTGTTTTGAAATCCACCCTCAATTTTAGCACAGAGGCACTGGAGACATGAACGCCTGTAATTTCTGCATAAGCAAAACTCTTGTCAGGCTGCACTGGCTCCTACAGAGCAAAGGCATGTGAAGGAAACCGTAGTGCACTCATTATGTGCAAACAGGAGTCTAGGCTCCTACACAAACACACTGCTGCTCTAAGAGGGACGGAGGCTGCCTTAAGATGTGTTCTGCTAAGGATCTGTTATGCCTCTAACAGAGGAGTAGAGAAGCCAGTGGTGAGCTTGGCCGGCGAGTGAGGAGTGCGGTGGAGTAAGTGGCAAAAGCCCAACTCTCACACTACGTCTACACTGTTATTCTCAATAGCACCAAAAGGGGCCAAATGAGATCCGGGCTTCTTCATGCTAAGTGCTGCATAATCACAGAGATACAGCCTGTACCTTGAGAGCTTCCCAGCTGCAGAGAAATGCAACTGCGAGGGGAACCAAGGGGAGGGCGTGACTGTCCAACCACCACGCAGCAGAGCTGGGACTGCAACCCACTTCTACCGATGCCTAACGTGGTCTCCTAGCCACTGGACTGTGCTGCCTCCCAGTGGGATTTCATCCACTAGTGCACTGTAGCTGCAAAACCCTACCATAGACGCTGTTTATACCAGTGCAGTGTGGCTGCAGGAGGGGATTGCACTGAGCCAGCTATGTTGGTGTAATTAAACAGGGGGCTAAAAATCCTACTGTAGGCCTGGTTTTAGGGTACAGATGGAATTTCCTGGAAAGTTGAAAATAAATGCATTTAATAGGTTAGGAGTTTAAAATTGTGGGTCAGAGCCTCAGATGGTGTGAACAGAAGACAATGGAGCTCTGCTGAGTCCTATGGCTCTGTCTATCCAAGGCTTAAATGGTCCTTATCCATCTTAATTTCTTTCCCTGGTTTTATCTCTCCTCAATACTATTACGGCCCCCCATTACTTGGGCACTTCACAGTCTGTAATGTATTCATCCTAACACCACCCCATGAGGCTGGGCAGTGCTGTCATCCCTTTTGTACAGCTGGAGAAACTGAAGCAGACAGGCTAAGGACGTGTTGTCACTGGAGCGTTAACTCAGGCTCTGACTCTGGCACTTAGGACGGAAGAATCCCATGCACTGGTACAGGCTGGGGACCGACTGGCAAAGCAGCAGTTCTGCAGAAAAGGACCTGGGGATTACAGTGGACGAGAAGCTGGATATGAGTCAGCAGAGTGCCCTTGCTGCCAGGAAGGCCAATGGCATTTTGGGCTGTATTAGTAGGAGCGTTGCCAGCAGATCGAGGGAAGTGATTATTCCCCTCTATTCGGCACTGGTGAGGCCACACCTGGAGTATTGTATCCAGTTTTGGTCCCCCCACTACAGAAGGGATGTGGACAAATTGGAGAGAGTCCAGCGGAGGGCAGTGAAAATGATTAGGGGGCTGGGTCACATGACTTATGAGGAGAGGCTGAGGGAACTGGGCTTATTTAGTCTGCAGAAGAGGAGGGTGGGGGGGAATTTGATAGCAGCCTTCTACTACCTGAAGGGCGGTTCCAAAGAGGATGGAGCTCGGCTGTTCTCAGTGGTGGCAGATGATAGCACAAGGAGCAACGGTCTCAAGTTGCAGTGGGGGAGGTTTAGATTGGATATTAGGAAACACTATTTCACTAGGAGGGTGGTGAAGCACTGGAATGGGTTACCTAGGGAGGTGGTGGAATCTCCATCCTTCGCGGTTTTTAAGGCCCAGCCTGACAAAGCCCTGGCTGGGATGATTTAGTTGGGGTTGGTCCTGCTTTGGGCAGGGGATTGGACTAGATGACCTCCTGAGGTCTCTTCCAACCCTAATATTTTATGATTCCCCCACCCCTCCTCGTGTTCACACACAAAACCCTCTCAGATGCATATGGTGGTGCTTTCAAGCCAGGCAAGCTGGCCCTGCTGTGAGTGTAGTCTGATGCCCTGGAGGGGGTGGGGGTGGGGGGCTGCTTTCACTGGGTTTGGCAACCCATGCACTTTGCAGCAAGGATGCAGGCTAACTCACCTGGAAACAGACAGTCCTCCAGTGCCTTCCCACAATCCCCCACACACATGCCTAGAAGGACCAGCAAGTTCTCCCATAATTCACTGGGAAAGAATCATAGAGCCAATCAATTCACTGCAGTGCTAAGAACCATGGGATGTGCCCCTAGCAGGTTAGCAGTGTGGACACAATAATGCAGGCAGGCTAGGATAACCCAGGTGGTCAGACCTGGGTGTCAGTCACCTGGACTTAATCTGCAATGAATACCCTAAGTGACTTTCCCAAAGTCACAGAGGAAGCCTGTGGCAGGGCAGGGCATCAGAGCTAGGTCTTATCACTGGGCCATCTTCCTACTCCTAAGCCTAGTAGGGGGAGGAAGATGGTAGTGTTAGAATAGGTGGGTTGGCCCTCTTTACAAATGGCTTGTCAAACCAGGAACTCAATGCTGATGTGAGTGAATGCTCATGTTTAGGCCAAACATTATAAAGCACAAAGTTATGCATCATGGCTGTCTCCACTAGCACCATGGCAGCGAGTGAATTAAAATGTGTTTGTCAGGTTCCAACATCTAGAACTGGATCGTTGAAGACTATTAGACTTGGGTCATTGATGTGAATGGGAGCAGGACTGGGCCCAAGGTGCCTGGCCAGGGGTGCATGCTGAAGAGCCCACAAAAGAGGAGGCCCCATACAGTGCATCCCTTAAAATGTGCAGGTGCCTTTCATCTGAGGCCAATCGAAGCACTGTCCAGTCATTCTCTGAGCCAAACAACACCTTGGGAATTACGAGAGCGCTAGTTCCCCCATGTTACAGATGGGGAAATCAAGGCACAGACTGGCTAAGGGACTTGCCCAAGGTCACCCAGCAAGTCAGAAGCAGAGCAGAGAGAGTTCTTGCTTCCCGAGCCTCTGTTCGGTCCACTAGACCCTACCAGTTCTGCAAGGAGCTGGTGGAGACCTCTCAATGTGTGTCTTGTGAGCAGAGGGAGATGGGAATCCAAAGACAGAAGTCTAGCGCCCAACACCACTTCCTGTTCCTAGATCACTGGGCCCTAATGTGCTGTCTGCAAGAAATGGCAAGGGGACGTGTTATTGGCAGCAGGGCTCCAGAACCCTCCAGCTAGCTCCAGTCCACGAGCTAGGCCAGCTGCAAACACCTGTGTTGCCAGCAATCCGAGCCAGCCCTTCATTCGCACCAGGAGCAGTTGGTGCAGGTGGATTATGGCCCGTGCCCGGTATTTCTGGGTTCCTCCTCCCCAGCTGCTGGACCCTGGGTGGGGTGCATCACCTGTGAAGGGTGTGCAGTGGTGCCTCCTGGGAGACGAGAGGATTGTGGGCTGCAGCAGGGGCTGAAGCAGCTTTTGGGACCCGTTGGAGGAGTCTTGGGGGCCACCATGGAGGGGCCACAATCACCCCCTTGGCCTTTCTCCCCTCTCTCTCACCCCCACACCCTCCCACTTTCCCCAAGGCTGTCTCCTGTGACCTGAATGTCCTGCCATTGTCCCCCTCCCCTCTTGGGTGCACTCCCTCCCAGAGGAATCCACCCAGCCCTGGGGCAAGGGGATCCTGCCATCAACTCCTCCAATGTAATTTACACCAGTATAGGGGGTCATGAAGGGACAGCTGTGCTGAGAGACTGAGAGGAAAGACAGGTTTGAGGCAGCTCCACCGAGCCTGCAGCTCTCCTCAGGCAGGCCTTTGCGTGCAGGAAGCTCTTATCTTTCTATCTGCCTTTCTTTCCTTCTTAACCTCAGGACAAACTCCATCCTCACGCTCTCTCTGATTAACATGGCACTTCATTGTAATTCCAATTACTTGGTGCATCCAATCAAACCACCGCCTCCTCTCCAGAGAGCAAGGGATGATAACACGGAATGGGGTGTTGGCTTTGGACCATGAAGAAATGTTAATTATTGCTAAGCACACAACAAATAACCCAGTGACCAGATGCATGAGAGGAGCTCAGTGGAACAATGGAGCTGAAATTAATGAATGGCACCTTTCATGCCATCTACTATATCCCACCTACATGCCTCAGCAGCAGCTAAACTCAATGAGAAACATGTCTCAATGCAAGAAACTAGAGTCACAAAATTTGGATCTTCATCCAGATTTCAAACGTTTCAAAGCTCAGGGACACTTGGATGTGGAGTTTTGGTCTGTCACAAATACAAATATGAGCCAATCATAACATTTGAATCTGGATTCGGGTTTAGATTCTAGTTCCCCTCTATTCCCCCTCCTCCTCCACACAGTCACAATGAACCAGATCCTTGGGTGGTATAAACTGATGTAGCTCCATTGACTTCAGCCCTGATTGACACCAGCTGAAGATCTGGTCCAATACTGGAGTGTTGAGAATCAGGTCTCTGATTCAATCCCATCTCACTCCAAGCAGTTAGAGAAAGATAGATATATACAGCACTCTGGAAACACCAGACCACCTCTGTCTTAGAAAACATAGATGGGTGACAGGTTTCAGAGGAACAGCCGTGTTAGTCTGTATTCGCAAAAAGAAAAGGAGTACTTGTGGACTTAAAGACAAAATTTTTTTAAGTTTTGTGGACTAAGATGTGAGTATCACATGGAAACATACTGGGGAATCTTCCTCCAAAAGGAAGACAATGAGATACATGGGGATATTCTCCATTGTCAGCCACTCACATGGCTGCAGTAGCCAGGGATGCTCTTTCTGTGGATGTATCATCAGTGACTAAAACCCTGTGAGATCGGGTTCTCTGGGCCCAGGAGAGATCCAATGTCATGGCCTCAGACTGGAAATATCATGAGCACAAACTCCTTCATGCTAGGTCAGCGTTTGCTGGTCCATTCCCAGCTGAAACCCAAAAGTCAAGAGGCATGGAGGAAAAACGTGAAAAGAGTTTACCAAACTTTTTACAGTTCTCAGGGTTGGGTCAAACATAGGGAGTGAAAGCTGGGGCTAGTTCTTTTCTGATCTGACCGGCTCAGCCCGAGTTGTGCTTGGCCGAAGGGCATGAAACCACTAAATAGCTGTTATGTGTAATATGCTCAGAGGCAGCGTTCTCAGCTCATTCAACGCCAGCTAGAGAGATTTCTCCCCTCAGCACACTGACAGCATTCATGGGGCAGCCTGCTACTCCCAGGTGTTTGCTAGAGGATACCCCACTTCTTTCCAGGTGGAATCTTCATTAATATTAGGATAGCTATAAAGATAGCAGAAGGCAAAAGTCAGGCCTGGTGAGTGCAGAGAAATTGCACAGATCGGCCTCAATACAGTCAGGGGTTCCCCATCTTTGGGCACGTTGCCAGTCCTGATGACGGATGCTCTATTTGTCACATGAGGATCCCGCCAGTCCAATCAACTTCGAAATGGTGTCAGGCTATACAACTCAGACCCACAGTTCAAACACCCCTGAGCTGAAGGGTATTCAACCCATTGCAAGCAGTTGAATCTGGTTTCAGATCTCAAACAGGCCCAAGGTTTGGTTTGGGCTCGGGCTCATCTCAAACTGGAATGAAAAGGTACTCCGGGAAAGAGAAATCTGTGTGTGTTATTACCAGGCGTTTTATATGCCGTGCATTATGTGCCTGGGTCTGCTCCGCTATTTTCTGTATCTCTGTTTTCTGTGTGCCTGAGGGAAGTGGCATTCTCTGAAGTTGATTAGTACCACAGTGATGGGCAGCCCCAGGGGATAGGCAAGCGGCTGAGAGGAAGGAGTTAGTCTGTCAGCACCTCATCACTTCTTGTTACACAGGGACGGAACTGTTAAGAGATCTGATCTTGTATTAACATGCACTCAGGGATGGGGAGGAGATTAGAAATACCACAACACAAGTCACCGAGGGCGCCCAGAGAAAGAGGAGCCAACAGGATTAGCTCACACCTGTCCAGGAGGATCAGCTGTTTAGACAAGGTGTCCCTGGGTGATGGACAAACCTCAGAAGGGCTCGGAAGCCCACAAAGGTTTGGGCTGCACATCCAGGGCTATCCAGGAAACCGAGCCAGATTTTGGTTTATTTACTTAGCACTAACTTTCCTCTTCCATATGTTTTATAAACATTAAGGAGTTCATCTACACGTGCCTACAGGAGGAAATGATGCCTGACTATAGACATGTCCAGCAGAAAGAGACAGGACAAAAATCCAAGGGTTGGAAGCTGAAGCTAGACGCCACAGTCAGGGGTGCCCACTCTGTGTGAGGCAAGAGGTCAGACTGGAGGTTCTGAAAGGTCCATTCCAATCTTTAAAAAAAAAAGAAAATCTATGACTTAATTCCCATGACTGCCCTGAGCAGCAGCCAGTGCTACAGTCCCAAGGGACAGGAAAACAGATGAAGGGCCTGGTTTTTCAGAAACGTTGAGCACCCAGAGTGATCACTGAATTCAGATGGAACTTTGGCTGTTCAATACCTGTGACGATCAGCCCGTAAGTGACTGAACCAAGATCAGAGCACAGCCCAGGGGAAGAGGCAAGATGAAGAGATTCTAAGGCCAGAAGGGACAGCTGTGATCACCTAGTCCCAGGGCTATTAAATTTCATTGCACCGCAACCCCCTTCTGAAACAAAAATTACTACGCAGCCCCAGGAGGGGAGACTGAAGCCTGAGCCAAGGGGCTTTAGCCCTGGGCCCCAGAAAGTCTAAGCCAGCCCTGGCAACTCTATTAAAATGGGGTTGCAACCCACTTTGGGGTCCCGACCCACAGTTTGAGAATAGCACACCTAGTCTGACCTCCAGATGAGCACTTAGGAGGTTCTGAGTCCCAGACCCCTGCTCAGTCCAGCCTTTTCTCCCAGCTCTCTTGGCCTATTTCCACTTCCTGTCCAGCCAGTGGCTGAATGTGTAGAGGGAGCAGGAAACACACACATGGGATCAGGGTGGGTGACTGTGATGAAGTGGGACTGTTCTTAATGCTTCCTCTGAATATTGTAGGGGTACCTCAGTTTCCCCTATGCAGTTCTTAAGTATCTAGGTGGTGGGATAAGGGTGTATGATCGTTGCAGAGCCCTAGGGCAGGTGTGTGCAGGGGTCTAGACACAGAATGGCCAACACCCTGTTTCCTGGCAACTGATGGCCTGGCCCTTCCCCCCTGCAAGGTGAGAGCTAAAGGGTTGGAGAACAAAGGAATCAGGTGACCTCCTGGCCTGGGAAAGGGGCAAAACCCAGAGGAGGAGGGGCTGGAGGGAGATTCAGTTTGGGGCTGGCTGGGACATGGAGTGAAGTGCAGACATTGTTTTCTGGCTCACTGCCCCCCAAAATGGACCCAGCTGAGGGGTCCTGTTCTCTGCACCTGCAAGCTCTGTTTTAGATCATGTTCCTGTCGTCTAATAAACCTCGGTTTTACTGGCTGGCTGAGAGTCAAGTCTGACTGCGAAGTTGGGGGGCAGGACCCTCTGGCTTCCCCAGGAGCCCCGCCTGAGCAGACTCGCTGTGGGAAGCGCGCGGAGGGGCAGAGGATGCTGAATGCTCTGAGGTCAGACCCAGGAAAGTGGAAGCTGTGTGAACTGTGTGTCCTGAAGACAGGCTGCTCACAGAAAGGAGACTTCCCCAGAGTCCTGCCTGGCTTCATGGGGAGCAGTTCCAGAGCATCGCCCAGG